ACACACATATATATANATACTATATATATAACTATATATATATATATATATATATATATATATATATATATATGTATATATATATGTTTATATGGAGATCTACACACACATTTATATTTGTATATAGATATATGATTTTTTTTTAATATGTAATGTATATGTAATTTCATAGTTTGCATCTGTACCACGCAATGTATAGTGTAAACATGAGCAGGCATTCCTTGTACAAATTCGTACTCAATATTTTACATACACATAGGTGGTGTAAGTTGTATTGATGGATCGACGAGTATTCAGAAAAGCACCTTTGTCGTGTATATACGCCTATTTATGTTCCTAAGATATGATATTTATTCTTTGTAGTTAAGATATATGTACAATAGGTGCAAAAGACGTATCGAATAAGACTACACAATATTCTTTGCGAATAGTCTCGCAGTCAATCTCATTACCGGGCCAAGCAACAGTTGCGCGTACGGTACGTTTTAGGTGCTCCTGTCAGGCGGCGTACACCTCATATGTCAATATCGCATGAAATATACCAACGCTTACATCGACCGCAGTGTTGTGCAATGCTTTATGTTTGACATCAACAATGCCAGATTCTGAATGGCCACCAAGCCACCTTGCTGCGTTTGGGGTCTGTCTCCATGGTTTGGTCACTGCAGGCCACGTGCTTTCACACAGTGACCGTTGGTCTCAAAACACAACTACTCGGTGTTTGTGAAGTGTTTACGTTGCCACCAGCGATGTCGAGTTAACACAATTGATACGAAGTCCATCCACTCTTGATGTATTCGATGTTGACAATGTTCCGGAGGCGTAAATGGAGTCGGTTTGTTACTTAAGGAATCCCCTTTGGCCGTACTAACGCTAGTAGAAAATGCTTTGCCACAGTGCCAATCAGCTCCGTTGGAAGCGGTCGGGCGATTGTACTTAAAACTTTATTTGGGACTGTATGTGTTGTTGCTATGTAGCAAATGCCCTACCACAGCAGGGTCGAGTGTGAAGCTTTCATGGTCCATAGGTACACAAAACTGAGCCAGTTCAGCATCACATAGTCGGTGTAGATCCTATGTAGTACACTCACAGACACGCCGAAGTAAAACATGTCCTCTGACCAGACGTCATAGGCAGTTCGTACGAAACACGTCGTATATTGGGGCCTCCAAGTTTGGAGCACACGTGGTGTTTAGGGTTTTGGGTTTAGGGGTTAGCTATGGCGACGATGTCGTTCAAGGACTTATATGTACCAGTTCACGTCCAACCCAAACAACTGGAAATGGCTCCTACAACCGGCGCCGCTGGTTTGTTCTTGCCCTGATAGGTGAATGTGTGCACGTCTTTGTCTGCGAGGGATTGGGCGTATTTTTCTGCAGCGTAGATGAGGAAATTGTTGCGCATGGTGCCTTGGCCGACTGCTACGAGTTCCGGGACGTCGAACTCGCGGATAATGGTGTACCCAGCCTAAGGAGAGAATAGAGGAGTTAGTTACAAATAATATAGCATCAGGTGCAAACACCATAACATCAAGTACATATACCATAACATCAGGTGAAAATACCATATCATCAAGTACATATACCATAACATCAGGTGCAAATACCATAACATCAAGTACAAATACCATATAATCAAGTACATAAACAATAACATCAAACACATACACCACAACATGTCTGGTAGAGGTGTGCTTGTAGTAGGACATGAAGTACAGTCCCCATTGCGATTACCGGCTGCCCGCCGTTGCTCCGGGGTAGGTACACCGACACCATATAGCACTTTCGATTGGCATTCCCTAAACCCTAAAACCCTAGTCGATAGCCCATCTGTGGGACTCCGTACCTTTTCCATTGGATCGAAGAAGTGCAAATCCTCTTCGTTGGTGAGAATGTACAGTGACGCCGGCGCGGGGATACCGAGGTCTGACAAGCGGCGGACGATGGATTCAGGCTGTGTGTCTCTGTGCGAGCACATTGATACCAGTTTTAGTGTGCTGTATATATTAGTGTGCTGTTTATATCAATGTGGTGTATATATTAGTGTGGTGTATATATTAGTGTGGTGTATATATTAGTGTGGTGTATGTATTAGTGTGCTGTATATATTAGTGTGCTGTAAATATTATGTGCTGTTTATATCAATGTGGTGTATGTATTAGTGTGGTGTATATATTAGTGTGGTGTATGTATTAGTGTGCTGTATATATTAGTGTGGTGTATATATTAGTGTGCTGTTTATATTAGTGTGCTGTATGTGTGCTGTATATATTAGTGTGCTGTGTATATTAGTGTGCTGTATATTTTAGTGTGCTGTATATGTTAGTGTGCTGTATATATTAGTGTGCTGTTTATATCAATGTGGTGTATGTATTAGTGTGGTGCATGTATTAGTGTGCTGTTTATATTAGTGTGCTGTATATATTAGTGTGCTGTTTATATCAATGTGGTGTATGTATTAGTGTGCTGTATATATTAGTGTGGTGCATGTATTAGTGTGCTGTTTATATTAGTGTGCTGTATATATTAGTGTGCTGTATACTTTAGTGTGCTGTATATATTAGTGTGCTGTGTATATTAGTGTGCTGTATATATTAGTGTGCTGTATATTTTAGTGTGCTGTATATATTAGTGTGCTGTATATATTGCGGATGAAAATAGGACGGTACACATAAAGCACACATTACACTGATGCGCCTGCTCGTCTCAGATGTGAAGCCCTGAGCACGTCGATGGATCCGGAATGTACAAATAACTTTCCCACGCTCCCACGCAAATACTCATAAGTATACAAAAGTGACCTAACACTGTGAGGTGTGTCTATGAACCCAAGGTGTAGGGTTTTAAGGCTTGGATGTACCGGTCTAGTTGGCACTCGTCAGTGTTGTAGCGTGGATCGGCCAGTCTATCGCCCCTTCGCACATGCACAGTGACAAACGGCGCACTGGCTGATGGGCCTCGACCACGCCTGACGATGGCCCTACCCAAGGCAATCACTTGGTCAGATGGCGGCATGTTGATCCGCAGCTGAAACAGGGGGGATGGGTTATACATTTGAGATCTGTGCTGAAAGATTGCCACTTGAAGTGACTGCAGGAGCGTACAAGGCACAGACAGCGCAGACTAACCAAACGTCTGTGTGTATGTAAACCCTAAACTCTGATCGAACGAGCACGGTGTTGCGGCAGTGTAATTTGGCACATTAGCGATGGCGAGCCATACGCTCGACAGCTTTCGTCAACTCACTTTGTACCCAGAGCCATACGCTCTACAGCTTACGTCAGAGCCATACGCTCTGCAGCTTAAGTCAACTCACGTTGTCCTCACAAGACTCACGTACCTTTGTGCCCCTCATTAGACTACGGTACAGCGGCAGACGAACATACTGTGTCTGAAGGGGTGCAGTATAAGGGGGTTGTAAGTTTAATACTTGATCTCCTAGCGCAAGGGTGAAGAAGTTATATTCCCACCTACATAATAATTTATATAAAATGAACCCCCTATGAAATCAATTTTTATAGCGAAATCGCTATATAATGATTTATATAATGAAATCCCTATATAATGATTCATATGTAATGATACAAATATAAAAAATTTATAAAAAAACCCGTTTATATTGATTTATATATATTGAAACCCCTATATAATGATTTACATATGATAAAATCCCTATATAATGATATATATATCGAAACCCCTATATAATGATTTACATTTAGTAAAATCCCTATATAATGATTTATATATATTGAAACCCCTATATAATGATTCATATTTTGTAAACCCCCCGTAAATTGAACTATATATACTAAAACCGCCACATAATGATTGTTTTGCACACCAGAGTTAAATGCACAAACAGGCGCACAGATGGGTTGCGTGACATACATATTCTTCCTTTTTGGTATCGAGTTCCAAAACCTGTGCCGAGGCCTGTTTGTCTGTAAGTTCGACTGTGGTGCCAGGCACAACTATTTTGGATTTGATCTTTTTGCCATCTCTAAACAACTCGCGCTCAGAGATGAAGCGGATGGGCCTACAATCAAAAGCGTTTGGAGACATTAGATGAAATGGGGTAGCTCTATCTTACGGCGTAGCTCACAAGCGCAGAACTATATACACACGGAGAAAGGATGGACACACTCCGCTGATGAATGGTGCGTCTGATCGTGTCTGTAGCGCATGGGTTACTGTTGATTGTGTGGCCCACTCTCGCCGTGGCTATTGAAAAAATGAGATATATATCAGTGTATAAGGAGTCCCCACACACGGCAAACCATCAAAAGACAATTTCTTTTGGATAAACCATGGACGGATAAAACGCTAAGAATATATACAAAGTCCAAACCATCAAAAGACAACTTCTTTTGGATAAACCATGGACGGATAAAACGATATGAATATATACAAAGTCCAAACCATCAAAAGACAACTTCTCTTGGATAAACCATGGACGGATAAAACGATATGAATATATACAAAGTCCAAACCATCAAAAGACAACTTCTTTTGGATAAACCATGGACGGATAAAACGATATGAATATATACAAAGTCCAAACCATCAAAAGACAACTTCTCTTGGATAAACCAAGGACGGATAAACCCATTTGAATATATACAAAGTCCAAACCATCAAAAGACAACTTCTTTTGGATAAACTATGGAAGGATAAAACGATATGAATATATACAAAGACGACTGTAAATCATCAAAAGATAATTTCTTTTGCATAAACCATGGACGGATAAATCGATATGAATATATACAAATACGACGATATGAATATATACAAATAAAACGATATGAATATATACAAATAAAACGTTATGGATATATACAAATACGACGATATGAATATATACAAATAAAACGATATGAATATAGTACAAATAAAACGTTATGGATATATACAAATACGACGATATGGATATATACAAATAAAACGTTATGGATAT